GGGGGGGAGTATTAACCAAAGCGGACACACAATGGTCACTAAGAGCTGGGTGAATGACTATTGGCGTTGTGTCTTCTCATCTGCTAACATTTAGGGGTCAAAGGAGCCAGGAAGGAGCCAGGAAGTGGGGGAAGGAGTGATACAGAGAAGAGAAGAGAAGGGAGGCAGGCGCATGTCAAGAAGGAGGATATCGGACATGAGGTCGGGACACTTGCTCGCACTGGTTCAAATGCGAGGATGCGCTTCGTTGGCGTTGCCATCACACAATGTTTCATAGGCACCGTACTTTTTCCTCAAAGATCACTTCCCTACACTTCAATATGTTTGGAGAAATTGTGACATTTCATCGGTACATTACAAGAGGGGGCCGGGAGGGGGGGGGTCTAGCTAGCAGCACAAATGTCATGCTTATTAATGTACCTTTTTTTTTTTTTTTTGGCTCATACTTTCAGCAAAATATCCAAATTTGCATCAGCATGCGAGTCCAGCCCGAAATCTGCAGACTTGAACGAAGCCCTTTACGAAGCAAGTTTGAACCAAAAGGAAGCAGCCATCCACTCCACGAGCAGGTATTTCGAGCGCAGCCATACTTTGAAACGCCATTTCCTGCATTGTCGGTTGCCCTTTCGGAGTCTCAAACGGTCAAGCCGGGAAATGACCGCTGTAATTCCGCTCACATCTCTGTTGTGGAGCTGCAGATGCCCCAGAGGGAGCCATCATTATTTCCTTTCCTGGCCAACAGAGCGAACCTGCTTGCTTGGATAATTGTGTCCGATGTTAATTATAGGACACGGGGCATTTTCACAGCCCTGCCTTCTGTCATAAAATGTATTTTGAAGCAGCGCTTGCAAATGGATTTCGAGACGCTTGGCTCGTCGGCTGCTATAAGCTTTTGTTTCTGGAAAATGCGCAGAAGTGATTTATACAACTATTAAAATATGGACAGGAAATAAGAGCATTCATTCAGTCGAAAAGTTGCGCTACCGATTAGACCTTCGATGACGTGGACACCATCGAGTGAATTTGTGTCACAGAACGCTCGGCGACGGATGAAGGACAGAAACACATTAGAAAGAGGCTAATCATCTCAAATAATACATTTCAATTTTGGATAATCGGTAGAGCGGAACCTCTCAAGGACAATCTCCCAGAGTTGTGAGATTTGAAATTGAAATTGAGGAATAAGCATGCCCCAAGTTGTCACCAAAAAAACATCAGAAGTCAGCATTTGTCATGCAACACTTGTGAGCATCAAAAAGCTTTTTCCTCAGGATTTTTGTGGGGTTTTCTTTGGTTGACGCCACACAAACGCCGCCCCAAATGGTTCTTAACTTGAGTTCAAAAGTTTGCGAACAAACACAGCGCAGCTCAGCTTCTGGTTAAAGATCAAACGTAATTGATTTGAGATGACCTTGCACGAATGGGAAGATTCGTGTGGCACCCCAAAAAATAAACACAAACAAACTCCAGAGCTCTTTCAGACAGCTAAATTGAGCCCCTTAATGTGGTTCGACTCCGGCGGCTCGCCTCTCTGAGCGTCCACTGCACATATTGAGGAATGCCAGGTACGTCCGCAGGGGAGGAGCGGGAACATCTAATCGTGCGTAATCACAGAGGGGGAGGCCGGTAGTTTGGTCAACTGCACGAGCAGGCGTGCGGCGCCGCACGTGTGATTTTTCACAAACGGTCACGGAAATGATCAAGGAATGAGTGTGACACATGACATGAATGCATGTGACTTGGATTTGTTTGTTTTGTTTGAAAGGAATGAAGATTGATATCCATCAATCCGTTTCCTCGAGGGCTTATGCTCATTGCGCTTGTGAGGAAAATGGAGGCCATTCGAGATGAGTTTGGACAAGAGGCCGGGGACACCCTGGACTGGTCGCCAGCCCATCACGGAGCGCAGGTAGTCAACAAGCAACCTTATACACTCACATCCGGTGTCAGATCATTCGCATCTCAGAACAGTAGAGTCTTTGATGAGCTTATACAAGAATGATTTTGGAACGTGGGCACAGGGAGAAGATGCAACCTCCAAAAAGGACACAGAAGTATTTGAACCCAAACAGTGAGGCAGACATTCGAACCATAAGACACCGCGTCCAACATATTCCAACGTTCCAGAATGTTTGACAACATAGATAGCAAAAAAAAAAAAAAGACGTAACAATGATGTCCAAGGATTGACTCAATTTACTAAACAGCCAATCAGACGGCTCTGATGTCATCACTTTGCCACTCATAGCCCCCAAGGGGGCCATTTTTGCAGTGTCTTCAGTTTGGGGATTATACGCAGTGATGCATCAACTGCTGTTCGAGTTATGAATGCATTGATTTGGTTTGACATTATCGTCGATGAAGCACCGCGGCGGCTGTACACCGCTGCAGACTGTGCAACCACAATGAGAAGTTGAAAACAACTTGCCAAATGAGCTCCTCTGTGACAATGTCAACGATGATTTTTGGGGGATTTTTTTTTTTTAATTGGATCCCATGCAGGTGTATTGAACGTTGTGGCGCTCGTGCGAATAACTGCGTGTTTTCCCCTCGGTGGTCGCTTGGTGAAACTTGGTGGAATTTTCAAGTTCCCCATTCAAAGACTCGCTGGCAACACAGCACTCTGTGTTGCTCCAAGCCATTTGGATGAGAATGGGAACGTTTGAAGTTTGAATGTGCCTTATTTCCAACGTTCAAAGTGCAACTCCGGGATTTCCCGCTTTGTATACATCAAAGTCCTTTTTACTTTGCCTGCCTGTCAAAATTGAGATTTCCTTTCAATGTACTGCCTACAGAAACCATAAAAAGGTGCGATTGATGTCAGGGGTTGCAAGTCATCCATCATATACTGAATGATGTGTTTCACCTTTGCGTCAGGCACCTCTGGAAGGAAACGAAGTATTGAGCTATTTGTTCTCGCGCGCTATCGTACAGATTTATCTTTTTAAGCCCAGAAGGCTTTTCGAATGCAATCTCATCTTTGATTGTTTTTAATATATGGATGCTTGCTCCAGAAAAAAAAAAAATGACTCTGACCCTCCTGACTGGGTGAGGCTAACGTATATGCTGCCTCACATGCTGCAGGTTCGATTCCCAGCAAGTGACAAATTACTGTCAGTCCCAAACCCGGATTTTTTTTTTCTTTTAAAAAGGGAAGGCTGTGTCAGCAAGGACATCCGGCGTAAAAATGATGCCAACCAAACGAAGCGGGCGCCTCACTGTGGTGACCCCTATTGGGCCGACCCGAAAGTCGCAACAGCAGCAACTACCGTACGCCGTCCTATTCATCTCAAACATGTTTTGCCTTCCTGTGCATGTGAGACGAATGCATCCTGTCTTATTTTTACAGCTCTAAGCGTGATTCAACATCCTCAGCGTGATACACGTATTGTGGCATCACGTGACACACGCACAGCCGAGTTGGAAAATAACAGTCAACTTTAAATAGCTTTCCATCTTCGGATATTATGGTGCTGTTTGTATACCGAACGCTAAGCGGGGTTGTCTGGTTTTGCTAAAGGTAGCGTCGTTCATGACATTTGGACTCCTTTCCTGGCTGCAATCCAAACATGTGCTCGCTTTATAATGAAGTTACAACCCGCGCGACGCAGCGTACTGATTTATGGCAGTTTCACATCTGGAGCAGCGGCATCTTTATGCGCATTCAAGAAGCCAATCAGGGCACCCTAACGGCTTTTGACTCCTCGCCCACAAAGGATGAAGTCGGTGCACGTGCCTGGCCCTGGGCGATCCTTCTTATGACACCTAATGGCGGGAATAACAGTTCAGCTTGGCGGCACCCCTCTTTCAAGGCAGACTTTTATGATCAAGCAGGTGCTTTTGGGTTATTCAGGAAAAAAAACAAACTGTATACTGTTGAAGGAACTTTGTAGCAAAGTTTTATCCCCTCAAAATTGGATCTCAATCATTTCAGTATTTGACAGCCATATTAAATGTAGACATATTGGCCACAATTTGGCAACACCTGAACTCATATTTTACCTTTTCATAGAGCCAAATAAGAAAATGGACCTCAATATTCGAAACACATCTGAACGTCGTCCTACTAACGCTCGTAATATTACATTGAACTACAGCACGGCATACTTGGTCATTTCTTCTTTCTAAACTTAGATATTCTCTCGAATAGCGTTTGGTGTTTACGTTTGTTTCAGTTCGTCTGTATGTCCCGTTCACGATGACAAATCCTTGAATAGGACTCTTTTTCTTTCACGCGCAATACAAAGTGACGTGAAGGGGGAAACATCTCTCAAATTCGAGATGAGGCGAGACTGTTCCACGGTGCGAGTGTACCTAATGAAGTGTCCGGCGTCCAAATTTCTCCGCACTCACCTCGGCCGCGCCAAGTCGCACGCACGTCGCCAGTAACGCGAGCAGCAGCTGCACGGTGGAGCTCATCTCGCCGGCCAGCCTGGAGCCTCTGCGACGGGACGAGCATTTATGGAGGCTCCGGAGGCCCGCAGTCCTCGGCCGGCAGGGTGCGCGCGGCGGCGGCGGCGGCGGCGGCGGCTCGCTGCTTCCCCGGCGGTGTCCTCAGCGCGCACCGAGCTGCGTCTCTCGCGCGGTGAAGTCAGTTATCCAAAGCCCGAAGATGAGCCGCTCGGACGAAGTCAGCGCTGACTTTTTTTGTGTGTGTGTTGTCCAAAAAGCTCTTATTTAATCCGCATGGAAGAGCACTTTTAATATTTTTCTGTGCGCCGGATTGATGCGCGCCAGCCTTCGTCCTAAAAGTTCCAACCGCCGCGACAATCCAACGTGATTAAAGCATTCTCGTTCTAATACACGTTAAAAGTGACCCCCCAGCCCCTTCCCTTTAAAAATCTCGTTGAAGCAAGAGGTCCGGTGCTGGCAGGTTGCGGTCCTTTAGGGTCCTGGCTTTGCTTTTCAAGGAGGTTTCTAAATCAGCGGGGAAGCCTGAGGCAGCAGTAAAGGTGGCGGTGTGACGGCTACAGCACAATTCCAAGACTGCTGTTGGTCCGCTCAACGTTCTCCCGCCCCCCCCTGCTTGAAGAATGGCTCATCATCGACGTAATAACACAAAGAAAACGCACCGAGCACTTGCCGCCGTAAGCTCCCAAATCATACTTAAGCCGCCAAGTCCTTGAACTTTGATTCTCCTTCTGCAGAAAGAAATCAAACAATGAGCACAATTAGGTCACATTCGATTTTTTTTTTTTTTTTGCCTCCCTTAGAAAATTTGTCTCAGTTTGATAATGACTTTTTAGCTTTACTTACTAGATTAGAAAACAGATTTCTGGACTCTTATGTCTTATTTGTCCAAACGGGTCATCACTTTTTTTTTTTCCCAAAATCCATAGATGATGACATAAAGTGAAAGAGACTCAAGCGCGGAGACATAAAGTCAACCACCGTTGAGATCTTGAACGATTGACACGTTTCGGTCTGATTAGGTCAGAAAGGCTGAAAAGTGAAAACCCGCACAAAGGCGTGGTGAGGGCGTGCAAACTCCGAAAGGTTGTCTATCTCTACGCGCCCTGTGATTGAGCCGCGACCAGTCTCCTCGACTCAACTTGATTTCCAGAGCGCTTTCGCAACAGCTGCGGCTGCATTCGAGGGTGTTCCAGCTCAAGAATGACTTCCCTTCCACTATTTGTCGTAAAATAGAAATCACCTGCTGCACACATACCAAAGAAAGAAACGCCATACAAGTTTATTCATGCATATTCATAATGAAAATAGATCAAGGCTCTTTATTGAATGTGAAATGCATATTAGCGGGAAAGACAAACCATATAAGTTGCCGCCAAGCGAGAGGAAATACGAGCTCGGAACCTAAAAAGAGACTTCCCATTTAAATGTCATTCGGAAGGCACAGCCGTGTTCAAGCGTCCCCGGAGGTTGTGAGGAAAGTGACCGAACTTGGCTATAAAATTCCGGTTCAGAGTTTTAAAATTGGAGTTGGGGAACTCCTGGTTGTGTGCCTCAAGAGGCTTCTTAACTTTCTCCCCCGGCGACACTTTTGGCCTATCAAATTTGAGAGGAACTTCAAATGCACTTAAAATGTTACGTTCGATGCATGACAGCCCTTTGAAGTCATAATTCACTGAAAGGCAGTCAAAAGAAGAGTAAATTACGTCACGCTAGCTTGGCAAGTTGCCACTGTAAAAACTCTTCGGTTGCTGTAAAACGGCTGCGAAAATGCACGGCAAGCTCTTTTGGGGTTGCCATTGTTAACGGGCCGCTCGCTGCTGCGGCCGTGATTTCCTCATTGGATGCTGATTAGCATCTCGATGCTTGGCAAGATTTTTAAAGAATCCGCCCAACCTTTTTCTAGCGCGTTATCCTGTTCAGGGTCACAGGTCAACTGGAGCCGATGTCGGTCAATTGACCTAACGTGCATGTTTTTGAAATGTGGAAAGAACCCCCCCCCCCCCCAATGCCATCACGGGGATCGAAACGCAGTACTTTGGACTGTGCTAAACTTCTGTCAAATCCAGCTTTTGGTGTGTTGCGTAATAAGTCGCCACACGTTTTCTATTGCTGGATGCAGACTCCTCTTATGACTACGGAACAAGCAGCCAAGCTATCAGGAACAGACGGGTGTCTGTAAATATCACAGGAGTTATTCTAAGAGTCACGACCTTTTTGATGGTCACTCGTATGTTTAGGGAACATTTTTCAAACAATGACGGTGACTCCGTAAGTTCAAATCAGGCCCGCCAGCCAGGTCCCTAAATAGAATGTCAGTCAGTCTCATGGAGGTCAAGTCGAAAAATGCCGTTTAAAAAAAATAAATAAAATACTTCATTCGAATTTTTAAAAAGGTGACCGCAAACGAACACACCAACTTTTCCTCCGGTGGTCAAATCGTGCTCAGCTGGATAATAGGATGCCATTCTTTGTCTAACAAGGGTCAATGGAGGGAACGGCATGAGCTATAGGATTAAATTTACACGGAGCTGTACAGCGGCTATGCAAGCTTGGGCCAAGGCCACCAGCAAAGTGAGACCAACAACATTCAACAGAAAACATGCACAAACGGAGAGTCAATGCAATGACTGAAGTTGACTGTTAAGCCACGATTTCGCCACACATTTTTATGGGCTGTAGGAGCAACTCAAATGTCAGCCGAGAGTCCTTTCGCTGTGAGGCAACCGTGCAAAATACCAAAGGTGGGAGTCAGGCACATATGTGCAACTCATAAGAAAGTCCCACGTCTTGACCTTAAAAGTTTCAAGCAAGTCCAAAGAAGCACATCATGTCGAGTCTCCAATCAATTTCAAGTACGTCGAGTGATTTAAAGCAAGTCTTATGTCATGGCTCAGTCACAGCATAATTTTTTTTCCCACGTAAGCCACTCGGCGCTGAGTTTTTGTACTTGTGTTCGTTCGGGACTCTACTGTACACATGCACAATGATATGAGCTGTCAAATTGATGCGTCTGAGTTGCAAACCTAGCATGCCGCCATTCTCCAGTTTTGCTATCCTGGCGTGTTGGTTCTCTCCAGGTCGCCGTTCTTTTTCCTCTCGCGTTCCAAAAACATGCATGATAGCTTAATTCAAGACTCTACATTTCCTACAAGTGTGCGTGTGAAAGGTTGTTTGTCTGTGATTGGCTGGCAAGCATGTCAAGGGCGGACCCATCTCATGCCCAAAGGCAGCTGGCATAGAGGCCACCTCACCTTTCATCCCTCCTTTGAAGGAACATTTGTTACATAACTGTCCTTTTTTTTTTGTTGTTTTTGCTCCAAAAAGGTATTAGTCCTTGATTATTAGCCTGACGGTATACACTGGCCTGATGTATGTTTAGAACAGAATTTGAGTTCCATAGTGTTTGCATTTCTAACAGTGTAGTCGTTCGTGCACAATTGCATCTCCGCTATGGATTGTACATGCGTGTGTTGGGACAAAGAACAGATGGAAAGTGCCCACGAAGATCACTTGCCCCCTCAACCCGCATCGCAGATTGGCCAACACACACGCTGTCCCGAGCTGACAATCATTTTGGCCATGAGCGTCGGACAGAGGACCCTCTATGCTTAGCGAGGGAGTGAGAAATGACAGCACTCGCCCAAATATTTAAGAGCTTTTCAGAAGATCCGGGGAAGGTCACAGCACCGTGAACCAATCTTCCATTGAACAACGATGGCATTTGATTTCATGCGGGGGGGTTGTGGGGGGTTTCCGTTGAGGGCAGAAAGACTTCAGTGCTTAATTGGACATCGTGGCGTTCCCTCCCCACGGTCAGATGTTAGAAACGAAAAACAGGAATCGACTGTATTTGTACTGTACAAAGGGTTGCCAGTGTGTGTGTGTGTGTGTGTGTGTGCGTGCGTGCGTGCGTGTGTGTGTGCGTGCGTGTGTTGCTCCCTGCGCGCTAATAGGTGCACATGCATGTGGGCTGAATGGCAGTCAAGAGGGAGAGACTTTCAATTAGCAGCATCGTTCGACTCTCATCAGCGCGTCTCGGTAGATAAGAGAGGATGACGTCGACCGAGAGTTGCTTTTGTGATTGATTTTTATGATGTGATGGTGTTATGGAGACGTGGGATGAGGTCATTTAGGGTTAGAGTTGGGATGAGGGTCTGTACGTTGAAGCAAATACCTCATTCATCGACAGATTTTTTTTAAAAATTTTGACTTGAACATCCAAAACTGAAACATGACATCATGACGGCGGGTTCCCGTGTCGAGGGACGGCGTGAGAATGAAAGACGAGCGAACGTTGGCTAAATCTTTTCATCTTTTGACTTAGAACTTCCACCACTTCCACTAGTTAATGATGATGATGATGGTATCATCACCAATGGTCGATTTAAAAAAAAATCTCTCTCTCTCTCTCTCTCTCTCATCCATTTTTTGATCCGCTTTATCCCCACAGCTGTCTTCGGGCAGCAGGTGGGGGACACCCAGAACCGGTCGCCAGCCAATTCCAGGGCATACATAGTCAAACAACCACCCATGCTCACAATCACACCGAGGGACAATTTTGAGTGTGCCATTAAGCTGCCCTGCATGTTTTTGGAATGTGGGAGGAAACCGGACTACCCGGGGAAAACCCACGCAGGCATGGGGGAACATGCAAACTCCACACAGGGAGGCCGGATTCGAACCCTGCACCTCTGCAATGTGAGGCACTAACCAGTCGACCGCTGGGGCGCCCCTTTTCATGCTTTTTTTACCCCACGCACGTGAAACAAAATGCAAACAGTCCGCTATTCTAAATCGGATGTGCGTGCAGCTGCCTTTGGCGTTTTGTCGAAATCCAGTGAGGAGGAACCACACCACAGCGCGGCGTACAAACACCTCAGTGAGGAATGGCCGCATGAGTAGTTCTCTGTCACTTTGGCCCTCGCCGCTCGGCCTCACAGTGACCATTCATGCTCTCCACAAGACTGGATTTACACTTCTGAGCCGCTCGCTCGCCGAGTCACTTGCTACGTGTTTCGTGGATATCGCTTTATAACCGCAGCGCGAACGGGGCTAATAAATTAAGGCGCCGAACGGAGGAGGAATTCAGAAAGTCGTTCAAGTGTGCACATGCCTCACTGTTTGTTCTCGGCTATGCGTCCCGACTTGTCAAGTGGGGTCAAAGAAGGATAAATGCGTTCACTGCCATGCAGCTTGAGCGGCTTCTTTGAAATGTTTTGCTATTAGGTCTGTTTCGGGGGTGGGCGGGGCGACACCATATGATTGGGCGACGGTCCGTGTCATTGAAGCAAACTGGACATCATTCTGGGAAAGTCCAAGAAAGAGGAGTAGAAGGAAAACGGTTCAAGGCGGCTGCAGGTGTATTTATAAACGGAGAGCTAAAAATGCCGGCGCGTTTGTGTCCTGGCCGAGTCTCCTCCCTTTGATTCCTGTTTACGAGCTTGCTTCCTGATGACGTTGTCCTTAGCGTGACCGACCATCATCCCCATCATCTGGTATTCCTCTCAAAATTGCGGACGCGTGCGCAGTAGCGTGTCACCGCGTTGATCAACTCCTCCCGTCGATGCGATATTTTATTTTTATTCGGCTTCTTTATCGGCCTGTTGTTGGGGATGGAGGGGGGGTGTATCATCTAATTATAATCGAACTTAAGACTCTGGCTTGCCTTTATTTGTGAATGTCGGTGTGAATGCTTGTTGGGACTTTATGTGCCCTGTGATCGCCTAGCAACCAGTCTCGGGTATAGCCTGCCTTTCGCCAATGCGGGCAACGAGAGCCCATCCCACAATACTTATGGAGGAAAAGAGCTATAAAAAAAAAAAAATTGTTGTGGTTTGATTGCTCACGTCTCTTAAAAATGCTCCATATTAAAATTCCCCGTTCATGCAAAGTTTACAATGAATTTTATTTGCCAGCAGATATTGAGAAAATAAAACAGAACGCCTGCAGTTGGTCCATCAGACGAGACGGGTTGGCACGTAAGTGCGTTTTCATACGACGTCTGATCTCCGTTTAGTATCAGAGGAGCGTCTGGCGCAAGTCGTCTGACCAGTGGAAAGGGTGGTTGCGCGCCATCGAAACAGAAACAAACCGACTGGCCTAAATTTAGGATTGGGCTTTGATTGCTTGGCGGTGCCGCCGTGGCCAAGCTGGTTATTTTTGATCAGCAAATACATCAGAGGTACGGCTCGCATGCATGTTGAAGTCTTCTTTTCTACGCCGTCGCTATTTATGCCCAGACTTTATTTGTATTTGCTGCCGGGAGATAAATGGGATAGTATATCTTACTTTCCGATGTCCAGTGTCAAGCCACGGTTGTATTTCGGGTATGTCGGTTCCCCCTTTTTCCTTTCCATGCGGTATATCACACCTTTACGGCATCACCGTGATACATCGATCAGGAGTTTAGTAAACTCATCGTGATGGTGTAATTCCGCACTCTTAAGCACTTATATGTTCACCCGACAATTATTTGTACCCATCACCTTTTCTCACTTTTGCGTTCCCCCAAAAATGTTGTCGGGTCCGTTCCGATGAGAATCAAGATGATGAGGATGACAAAACGCAACGTCAAGATGAACTCATGTGACCGCCTTGAGCTTTTTCACTTTGGCGCTCGTCCGCGCAGCTGTAAGCTAAAAAGCCCAAACGCCGCCTCTTGTCATAAATTACAAGATGTCAAGTCCTCCCTGTAGATTCTTGGAAGGCTTTTCGAAGCGCGGGGAATGCGCACACCTGTATTTCTCCGTGCTCTGCGCAAACACGCTAATCCATAAATACACCCGGAAATGCAAAAGCTGCACGCGCCCTGAAATAAACGATCCATTTTCACATTTTCATTTACGTTATTCCAAGTTTTGATACGTAAGCACATCGACTGAGTTCAACGACGTCAAAGTGATCAGACTTGTCCAGACAGCGCCGGTGAGGCACGGGAAAAAAAAACCAACTGTATCCCGAAATAACTTGTACTGATCAGATACAAGTGAGAGAAGACATTATTGTGGCTTAGAACATGTGAAATCGAAGAGTGACAACAATGCACCAAACGCATTCGGTACAGTACAATAGCCGTAGCATCGGTGCAGCGAGATTGAGGTACCGCCGGCCGGCCGACAGGTATCGGCACAGAAAAAAAAAGGTGCGGAGAAAGCTTGTTGAATCAAAGGACCGAATGGTTTAGTCGAGGGGAGGAGAGGAAATGAGAGGCGCGCCGCTAATGAGAGGGTGAGAGAAAGGTGAGTTGTTAAAGAGATAGGGAGAGTGGAAACAGGGGGAAATCCAAGTTTTACCTCCCAGAAGGCATAATCGAGGCGAGGATGGGTGTGAGCGAGGAGGAGGAGGAGGAGGAGGAAGGGGGGGGGGTGCAGGCAATAAAGATGCCACTGGTTGACTGCGGATGAAGGTCGCCGAGTGCGAGCCTGCTTGGCGTCTGCTGTGGCAGCGATTTCCCCCTCCTACGGCGCGTACAATGAAAATTGTGTCTGAAAACAATGCCATGCGCAAGAGACGGAGTGGGGAAGGCTGCGTGGCAGCCGAGTGGGGAACCGTGTCGAGGATATGATGTCTGGACCGCGACAACAGGGCAGACATTTCCATGTGCGCGGCTTTGGGAGGGGTCGGTCTGCGTTTGTCAGTGCCATAGTTGTCGGGATTGTCTGGCAAAAAAATTGTTTTGGGGGGGGAGCGTTACTTCTCAGCAACAAAAGCGTTTTTGTAGGGCTTAGCCAACATCAAGACAGCACTGGTCAAATGTGACGAATGACAGAATGAGCCCTGCTAGGTTTGAGATCGCGGAGTATACTTGGATATTAAAAAGTGAGCAAGGACGGTCACCCTACACTTGAAAGAGGATCTGTTTCAAGTTAAAAAAAATCTTCACACGCTGACATGTTAATAGTGAGAGATGATGTCGAACTCAAATTCGAGCTAGCGGTCATTAAAAAGCTGTGAGCTGCGCTTGCTAGCAGACGCGGCTCAACATGATCTTTCTGCGGTGCGGATTCTCTCTTCTGTGTCGCTAATCCTCAGCAGCTCCGTGGTGGCAAATGAGATGCGTACCGTTAGACCGCTGGGAACGAAGAAAGTTGTGTTGAGAACTCGCAAAAGCCTCTTGAGTGTCTTTACATGATTGGGGGAATCGCTTTCAAGTGTTCATAGTGAGTATTGCCCTGAAGCCTGATCTGATCAAAATCGCATTTTAATCTTTTCCTAAAACTGTTCAAGCCTTGACTGTGCGCGTTACGTCATCTGTCTACATGTGCTGCTCCACCATTTGCATTTAAATATCCTTTGCTTCAAGGGTTTTAAGGCTGGAAAAAAAGTTGTTGCAAAAAGCCGTAAGCAATAAATTGCAGCAGAGGAGCGAAACGGTAGCAACGCGTGTCCGCGATAAGCACACGCGACGGCTCGCAAACCAAAACTGCAAAGCGAGAAGGCCGCTCCCTGTACAGCTCCCTTTGCACAGATGTGATTCAAATCCACTCGGCTCGCTCACGAACCAGCACAACGATGCTTCGCTGACGTACAAACCGGAACTTTCTCTTCCTCGGCCTTCTTCCTGGACTCTGGCGAAGGCTTCAACAGCAGCTGCTCTCACCTCGCTTCTCTCCCCCCTTCAGTCCCCTCCCCATCCTGCCTCTCCTCTCCCTCTTCTTCCTCTTCCCTCTTCTGGGTTTGTTTGTTCTCCCTCACAGCTCCCAGGTGTTTTCCTGCACGGCAAGCTTCTCTTCCGCTCTGACTCAGGTACAGAAATCCAAGGCTTCCTGCCACAATCGACTCGATATAAGCGTCACGCATTATGCATATTTCAGAAATAAACAGACACAGCCCCCCCCCCCACACACACACAATCACCCCCAAAAGACACACACGCACACACGTCCACACACACTCTTCACGCTAACTCATTCTCCCTCATCCAACAATAACACAACAAACCTTTCTTCCTGTGCAGTGGGGGGAACAATAGTAGGATAGCTTTGATGGCCAAAGGTACCAAAGGTGTTTTGTCGTGGGCGTCCCCTTATCGGCTCCGACATCACCAGGTCAGCGGCGGATCCAAGCCGTCGTACGGAAAAGGTTTTATCCTCGCTCAGGATGTCAGCGCGGAAGCGTAAAGTATCCGCCGAAGCCGAAATACTTGTAATATAAAATTCGCAATGAGGCCGTGCTATTTGTTAACCTACATCGGTCGTTGGTGACCAACTGCGCAATGTCACGGCAGCGTGATTATCAGCATCGTTACTGCGGTGCACGTTTTGTGTTCATATCTTGTCAGCCAGCCAATATGAGCTCTCATTTTCCATTAACGGATTGTTCAAATACAAATACCACACATACAAACATCACATTGCCTTTAACGTGGCTTAATTTAGGCTCATTGTTGTATACGTGCAAACCATCATGACTTGAGATCTTCAAAGACACACACACACACACACACACACACACACACACACACACACACACACGCGCGCGCGTCAATCTACGCGATAGCAGCAAGTTTGATATTTCACATAAGCCTCAAAAACGTGGACAGAATAAAAATGAAACAACTGCACGTAGCACCAAAAAAAAAAAAAAATGAAGCATGCACACTCAGCGACACACTCCCAGATACGCACATCCACACACAGTTGTTCTCTGCCCTTCTCCCATTCCCCTCTGTTGTCTCACTCTCTCCGTGAGCATCAATACGGCCCATTGATTCAATAAGGAGCACGCTTTGTGATGCCAGAGTCAGAGGAGCTGTGTTGGAATATCGGTTGCCCGGGACAACAGTCCACCCCCACATCCTACATGGAGCCCATGTCACCATTGTTCCGATATTTCACTGTAAACCAAGTGAGGTCATGTATGTATCTCTGTCGCTATACTGCTTGTTGGACAGGAATACCCTTTAAACGTGTGTGTGTGTGTGTGTGTGTGTGTGTGTGTGTGAGTGATGCGTGGGAGAAAGGAGGCGATGAGTCATGGCACACATACCACTAGGACACAAGAGCTCCCCCTGTTGCCGGGGTAGGGGAAGCCCAGCGGTGTGGGTGTATTGTCTGGAAGAACAAAGCTGACGGTGACATCACAGGACGCGTTTCTCCTACAACAGTCAAAGATCGGAGTGAACTGACAAAGGTTAAGTGCGGTGAGTTAAGCGTTTCAAGCAATTTTTTTTCAATATATTTTATTGATTGTTTTTTTTGTACCCTGCCTCAGCCAAAATGTGCCATTATTTTACTATGGGAGACAACCGAAATATGAATATCATTCTAGATCAGTAAACTAAGATTTTGGACACAAATACTCATGGGAAAAGCCTTAGCACGCTTGTCCTCGCCTATTCCAGGTCGATCCCCATCTTCATTTTCAACGTCGAGCACAAGGACGGGACACTTGAACATGCATCAAAAAAATGTTTTGTTTTTTTTTAATCCGACGCTCATCCTCACACATGCCCATGTGCGCTCACACAGCAGGGAGAGGAAACTGCAACACAATGATAAGGTCTGAGAACACAATGGGCTCAGCGGTGCACAGACAGAAGCCAGGACCAGTTTAGCTCAGAAAGGTCAACAAGCCTCTCCAGGCTTTCATTCAGTTCCCCTCCGTTATTATTGTTCCACATTATAACGATTACTCCAATGGCCTTTATTTTGCATCTGCGCGAGACATGCGGAAATACCAACGAAATATGAAATTGCGGGCCAGCTTGGAGAGGGCGGGCGGGAAACGTTCGTTATTTCGGAGGGAACTTTTTGGACGTCAAGTGGCCCGTGCACAGGCCCGTCCCGCAGGTTCATCTGCGATTCCCCCCGGTAGCGCTCATGTGGTTGTGATGAATCGTTTTAAATGTCTTACCGTGAAACGATGACATCACAACACAAGTAGTGCAGTAGTGGTATCTCGTTTATCGAACTTATAAGTATCCCTTATGTTATGTTTTTTTGTTGTACTGGCAGTTGAAGTGCTGAAAATTTCCTCCGCGGTTGTAGCAGGAAGTGAAGTGGGAATTAATTTGCTGATCACTGGCGAGATCGGAAGTGCATCTTACACATGGTACAAATAGTCCTTAACTTCAGACGTGTTTTTCGGTTGTAAGATTATAAAACGGCAAATTAGAGTTCTGTCATAACAAAAAGGAATGATGGGAGAATCCATTTTTGGCTTCGTTTGCTATCTGGACATTTGTGGGGAAAGATGATATAACGTAGTATTCCAATCGCATTGGCACCAATTTAAAAAGATGGCCTGACTTCAAAAGGCAGTTTATTTTCAATTACTGTTCCATGCTAGTAAAACCCAGCCAAGCCAACTATTTTCTCTTTCTGAAAAGGCTCCAAGCAATCCAAACCTCTTGGGGAGGGGGGGGTAGCTAAACTTGAGAGCATGTCGCCAGGCTCTAAAAACAGCACAATTCTAAACGGGACTCACTGGTAATGCCCCCCCGGCCCACCACCCCACATTTCTATTTGGATCGACATTTCTCACCACCTCAAAACCATCAAAATGTCCAAATATAATTCTGCAGCCGGAGATTTCATGCTAATCTGTAACTAGATGCTTTGCGGGGTTTTTTTCATTTCTATTAGAGAGCTCGCCTGGGGGCTGTTATGGTGCAGTTCCACACCACCACAAACGAAAACGGGAATAAACAAAAAAATTAGCTCCAGAGATAATGATTGTGAGGATACTTGCACGTCAACTTGGTTAGTGGGATGGGAAAGGCTACTTTATTGTGTGTTTGTTTTTTTTTTAAATTCTTTTTGAAGCAGCTTGTTAAAAGTTCATTTCACCCCTACCATCTGCTGCAGACTCCCACCACCTCCACCCCTTCTCGTCTTCCCTTGGCTCTCCTTCTTACGTGATCAACAATAGTCTATTCTGCGATGGACACACACCCAAAGCCAGGCCGCGATGCAAAGGGGAGAATGTTGGGTGGTGGCCAACCAGGAGGGACACTGTTGTAGCTCTCCATTCTCGTCTGGGAACCTAAATCCTGCCTCCACAATCAGGCTAGGGGTGGACATACTCAATCTGTTTTACCATCCTACCGATGCCCACGAGATCGGGGGGGGGGGGGTTTGAGCCTATATTTCATAAAGGCTCAAAAACCTACAATTACAAATCTAAATGACCCGAAAGCAATGAACATGCAGCATATTCCACCTGGAAATAATAGCATCAGCATATTTAATATCAGAAGAGAAAGCACATATCACGTATGTGCCGCCGCAGCGCGTGGGGTGGGCACCGGCCACCCCGAATTGGAAAAAAAAAAACGTTTCATTTGATGACATCACACGCGCAACTAAAACGAGAGATGGAGGCAGAATGATTTCAAAGTGACAACAGCGAGATGTTTTTTTTGGGCTATTGTGAAAAGAGCAGCATGGAGGAATCCAAACTATAATGCGGTGTCACCGTGTCGCGAGCTCAAGGGACAGAGCGATGCAATATCATGACACGGTTTGAAAAATGTCGGTGTTTTAGAGACTAGTCGATTTTACTACTCCATCATGACATTCGGAGCGTGATGTCAATTCACCGCTAATCATACGGGGGTTTGTTTGTTTGTTCATGAGTGACTAGTCGATGTGGACTCAACTTCCATCCACTTTCTGAAGCAAATATCGTCGCTAGGGTCACTAGGTGTGGAGGAGCCTCGCCGTATCCCACGAGGACATGAGCAAAAAATACATAAATAAATAAATTTAAGGGTTGGAGCTGAGAAAAAAAAATCTGGAGGCATTGCAATTAAGTTTGACGCTCACTAAGATGACATCAACTGTCAGAGGAGCCTATGAGGCATAAACCGTCTGGTTATTGGAGCACTATCTCATGCGTCCTAACACACACACACACACACACGTGCATTTACACGACTACAATACAGGCCCTTATCACCAAAGGCTAAAGGTCGATCCATAGCTGTTAGTCACTATCATGACAATCTGTTCGCCGTAAGTGCCTCAGAGGGAGCCCCCCCCCTCTCCCTCCCACACACACACACACACTCGTACGCATTTGCACACACGTGCGCGCCCCGAAAAGGCCAGACTCGCTTCAATGCCTGATTAGATAACAGACTGTAATATCTGACGGTCCCTATCAGCAGCAGTCAGCCTAATTATATAATTATCCCTTGTCAGATTGCGCCTGAGCAGCCCGGACGAGGGCGGGCCTTTGTGTGGCGAGATGGAATGCGGTGCGCTTGGCATTTTTCAGCAAAAGGGCATCTGTATCGAAGTCGCCGCCAAGAGGATTGTCGGGTGAGATCACGGCTGCCGGTGCCCACTCGTCTTCTTTCCTCTCCTCGGAGCTCCTCTTGCTCAGTCCATCGTCACCCCGGGACTTGCTTCATATGTCAGCTGCTTCTAAAGGCCCCTCTATCCGTCTCTCCATCTGATGCTTTCACTTCTGGACAATTCCATCTCTATTCTGCAAGTCCACTCCCCCACAACTCTAACCTCCTAATCACGCTCCCAAACTCTGACCCCCCCCCCCCCCCTCCTCCCCCCCCCCCCCCCTCGGAGCTCCTCTTGCTCAGTCCATCGTCACCCCGGGACTTGCTTCATATGTCAGCTGCTTCTAAAGGCCCCTCTATCCGTCTCTCCATCTGATGCTTTCACTTCTGGACAATTCCATCTCTATTCTGCAAGTCCACTCCCCCACAACTCTAACCTCCTAATCACGCTCCCAAACTCTGACCCCCCCCCCCCTCCTTCGTACCCCCTCCTCATCCTCTCTAAGCCTTGGAAATTTGGCAGAGGCGACTTTCTTGTAGATCGTCTTTCCAGGGTGGAATGTGCAGGATTTGGCTCTGTGACGATAAGACGCGACAGGTAGAAACAGATCGGTTAAAGGGGGTCCGCAACAGCAAGTCCTTCATCGCTGGATAGGACCGTTGCTTTGGTTTCTGGTCACGGGAGTTAGGCCCAAGCAGGTGTTAGGAGAGATTAGAGTCAAGAAGCAGAGTAAGGCAGGTCCTCGACTCGCTCCTTTCTGAATCCAAGTCAAAAGCAACAAGGCGGGCGTCACATAAAACATGTTCTGCGCCATTACAATAAAAGGACCCAGACCTTTTGCTGACATTTACATCAAGGGCCTCCAAGACTTTGCACACCGCTACTGGTGATTTTTATGAGTTTTCTTTACTCTATCGGAGGCCTTTTATTCTCACTAATGAAAACAGCAGGCTTGCGGGGTGTTCTGGCACCAGCGGACTCCCTCTGAATTCCTTGCTGCATAATTTAAGAACGTTTTGTCATTTTAACAGCCCCTCAGCAAGATAGAAAACTCTTTCAGTCCTTTTTCTTTTCCTTTCTTTTTTTTTTTACTAGCGTCAACATTTAAGGTGAACTCCTGGTTGCTAAAGTTGGGTTTTAAATGATATATCGACTATATCAGCCATTGTAAAAAGTTGCATTTCAGAGTCTGTTTCTATGTAAAGATTGAAAATAAAACAAATCAATTGGGATCTGATGTCATGAGCAAGCGACTGTTAAGTGAAAGGAGAACATCGGCAGCCAGCCGCACTGCTGCAGAACGTTGGCAAATGATGGCTCTTGAGAAATTCCCATAGAATTCCAGGCTGTGCCTACTCGTCAACCCCCCCCCCCCCATCCCCACTCGAGTCATCACGCAGCACGAAGTATGTGAAAGAATGCTGTCAGGAAAGAGTGGTACACTGGGGGCCAAGAGGTCTCTTTTTAAACTGGGCCTCGGCGTAAACCCCGAGTGAATTGAAAAATGCAACAATAAAAATCAGTCTAAATACAAATTACAAATCTCATTTGGTTACAGCGTCAAAATAAACACAGAGTCTGATTAAGGGATTTCAAAGAAAAAAGCTGCTCAACCCCCACACACACACACACACACTCTCTCCAAAGTACCCCTGCTGGTCACTACTGAAAATGTCCACCCATCATTGTTCAAGCTACTATTATTGTTGTATTATTTTAAGAAATCCTCTGGGAAAATCAATTACCAATTCCCATTATGTAGATTATGGAGGTAGTTGTTCTCATTACGTTAGACGGAAACATTTTTCCCCCTGCCGTTCCCCTTCATCTATTGTCCAGCCAGCTGACAGATGGAAGGGAGGAAGACCAAGGGCAGACATTTCCTGGTATTCTTTGACCATGCACTAACCATGACATGATTTCATATTGCGCAGAAAATATAATCATAAGGGAAGGAATCAAACGGCTTTGTCGGGAGTATAGAATAGCTCAATTATTTGTTTGCTAACTAGTTGGTAGACTGGATTACAGACGTACTATAATGTACATAATCAAATTGAAAAGGATTGTCTTTAAAGGGCGACCTAACGGGGGAGAAACTTGCCAAGTGACGAATGGTCCGATGGCGCCACCGTGTGTAAATAAACATTATTGCACCATCCAGTTCTTTCAGGAACACATCGCATACACGGGCGCCACCAAACGTTTTGAAATGAAGAGCTCCTTAAATTTTAAAAAATCGTTGAGATTACCTTTAAGAATATTTTTGTTATTGTTACAGGTTATAATTAATAATTAATGACATTGATTTATATGTAGACACTGATCAGGTTACTGTTTTATGAAAATAATTACATCCTTATCAAATGATCACTTTGGCAGCATTCCTAGAAAATTACAATATCCCATCACTGTTCGTTGGTCAATAATTGACGATATTAACCTTCATGTTTTTTTTGGTTTTTGGACGAATTCAGAATACTCAAGGGCGAAAGAATTTCGACACCGGAGGGACGTGTCAACGTGGAGTTTTGCAGACAAACAAGAAAGTGACTGACAAAGCCGATGGCAGTTGGAGCGGCGAGGTCAACATTGATCATCCCATAATGACATTTGGAGGTGAGTTGAACAGCTGAGGCACACGTCAGAAGCCGACGGTCTCCCGTGGCAACACAATCCCTTCAACCTTTGTTACCAGAGGAAACAAGTGTGTCAAAACAAATTTTGAAAGAACAAAATACAAAGTTATTGATAATTTTTCCCCCCGCAAGAACTTGAACCTTAAAATAAATCTACATTACTAAAAAAAAATAAAATACCATAACGCATACAGAAGGGATTGTAACATGCATCATAAGCTCTTGAGATATTTTGTGACACACTCAATCTTTCAGCAATAAGTGCTCTTTTTTGGGGGGGGGGCTGCTATAATCAGCGTCATGGTAGTTTCTCTTCACGTTTGAGAAGTGTTTGTGATAAGCGATACTCTCCAGTCTACAGTTTAATTTGCCACCTGTTCATCTTCAAAAGAAGAGCCTATCCCAGAAATTCAGGGTTCACCGCAGCACAAATTAAAATGAATAATGACTCCGCATCTTACAAAAGTGCCAATGAACGTAAGAACTTTGGCTCTGTTTCGCAAGTATGACATAAAACAAGGAGGCTTATTGGTCATTTGTTTATTTTAATGGCATGTTAACTCTAAAAAGTCGTCAGAAATAGCCCCTGATTTATGATGTTAAAACAACAGGTTGAAATTAAAACTATCGCACCGAAATGATTCCTGATGACGTAGGCTTCGCTACCGCTTCTTAAAAGGGTAGATGTGCTTTTGGGCGATAACATCGTCCTCACTATGATGTCACTTCGGCAAAGTGTTGACGCCTTAGAGCTCAAGTTCTATCTTGACATCCATTTTGGAGTTGTAGGGCTCCAGTAGAGGGCGCACCTCTTCTGACAGGAATCTGGCCACCTGCAGGCGGCAACGGTAAAGAAAACGGGTCATTCACGTTATCTGACAGAGACCTGACAACACCAGGGAAAATCCTGGATCACGTCATGAGAGTTGTAGTTTACCTGCTGGGGAGCACGACCGATAAAGGTCTTGGGGTCTAATATGGCATCCAGCTGTCCCAAAATGGGAGCAAAGTAAGGGTCAGCCTGCACTCTAGACAGCAGGTCATTATCGCCGCCCTCCTGTTTGACCACAGCTGCTGCCTCCTGAGACAGGACGCGGATCTTCTCATGGCAGTCCTGAGAAGGCAGTAAACGCAACTTTTATTTACAACTGATGCACGACGAGCAATGTTTCCATACACACTGATGAACGTCGTAGCAGGGTGCTGCGGTGTACCTGTCTGTTGCCTCCGGCCTTCACCATGGCCATGATGATGTTCTCAGTGGCCATGAAGGGCAGCTCATGGCGGATGTGCCTTTCAATAACTTTGGGGTAGACCACCAGGCCCTCTGTGATGTTCTGCAGAGTGCTGAGGATAATGTCAGCGGTGAGGAAAGACTCCGGCAGGGAGATCCTCCTATTTGAGAAAGAAGCAAGTGAAGGATCATGAGAAGGAAGCTGTAGTTTACTTGAGTACTTGTTTTTCTGATGACTTTTCCTGGTTACTCCCAACATTTGAAACCAGATATCTGTAATTTTTACTCCTTACTTTGTCAAAATAGGCTTGTTGCAATCCATCACCACAGATGACAACACAACACAAGAATGAAGTAAACAGAGAGAGTGAAAGTCAACAGCGGTTGAGATCTTGATTGATGGAGACCTTGGAGTCTTACGATGGAAAAAACAGTTCCAGACTCACAGATGCTCAATGGGAACGGGGCGGGTCATATGCTTCCCCGCAGGCCGTACTTTGCGCATCTTTGAACTAAGTAGCATTCAGATGAGATGATCTCACGTGAGCCTGACCTGTTGGCGCTATCATCCAACGTGCGCTCCAGCCACTGCACTGAGGCCGTCTGCAAGGGATCAGCCATCAGCGCCACCAAATGCCGGGCCAGGCTACAGCAACGCTCAGCACGCATGGGGTTCCTCTTGTATGGCATGGCACTCGAACCTGCGTGGGGAAGAGAAATCTTCAATGTCATCAGACTTGAAGGTGCGAGTATCGCAACCTCTGTTTCAGGCTATGGTATAAATCTTTACTTTTTGTCCAAATGTATGCATTCAATTGTGAGTGGCTGTACCAATCTGTTCTTTCTCAAAAGGTTCCTCAATCTCTTTCAGGTTGGCTAGTAGGCGAATGTCAGTACAAATCTGTGGAAGAGTAGACCGCAGCTCACATCGGCCAAACCACATTCACAGTGGGTTAAAACAATCAAACATAAAAAGCACCACTAGAGGGAGCCCTTTCTCTAAGAGTGGACATTACCTTGTGAACGGTCGCCCCTAAACTGGCAAGGCTGGAGAGAGAATCGATGTCCACTTTGCGGCTATACGTCTGTCCAGTCACCAGGTAGGCTCTGTGCAGTCCAGGGAACACGTGATACTGCAGTTTTAATTTTTTCCCCCCCAAAAAATACTGACCCCAAATAAGAACATTCAGGCATGTGCATCTTTTACTGTGTGTAATTCGATGCTGATCCAAATTATAACTGTTTGATTTTGGCTATCATTCCGCCACTAAGAGCCAGTCAATTGTCCAAATGTACATCAAGAAGTACATATCCACAATTTACCTTTGAAAGCCAGCCATCTCGGTCACCAACCTGTCCAGCTCTTCCACCTACCGGGAGATAAATAAAGCTACGCATGAAGGGAATGTCTTCAATATGATGGTGCGGGGAATTTCAATGGAAATGTTTGACCTTGTCGTGATCTCCCTGAAAGAGCTGCAGGAAACTGGCCTGAGTGCCAGTGGTCCCCTTGACCCCGCGGAAACGCAGGTCGTCGCGGGCTCGCTGCAGGTTCCGCATGTCCATGGCCAAGTCCTGCAGCCACAGGCACGCTCGCTTACCTACCGTGGTCAACTGGGCCGGCCTACAGGTGGGAAAGGCTGCGGTGACGTGGTGGAAACAGACTGTGTATGTACGCGGTGAAGAAAAAGAAAGAACGGACTCACTGGTAGTGTGTGAAGCCAAGCGTGGGGAGGTCAGAATACTTCTCGGCAAAATTTGACAGTCTGTCAATGACTCTTGCCAACTGTCAAAACAAGAACAACAATCCTGCGTGTTAATTGAATGTAAATATAGGAAAAGAAACAAAAGTTATCCATGACCTTACGCTTCAAAACATCTGAGACCCACAATTTCCAAATGACTGATTGTCCTGATTTGATTGGATGGATGGGTGAACATTTGCGGCAATGCAGCTGAGCCTCACCTTGGGTAAGAGAATGTCGAATCCATCACGCAGCATAATCAGATCCTGACGAGGAAGAGCAAAATATCTTAAGAGGCATGACGCGGAACGCATGCTGGGGGTTACTTTTATGAACGCGTGGTCCTCCTCTGATATCACGTGATTAAGAAAGTGGATATGCTTTTGATTCGAGATCCCCAAAATACACAACTGCTTCTCAAAAGCGGATTACCAACATCCGTGCATTTATTTTCTGTAGCTCTCATCCTTATTAGGGTTTCTGCTGAGCTGGAAACTGTCACGGCTGGCTTGAGGCAAGGGGCAGCGTATACCTTGTACTGGCTGCCAATCAATCTCGGGGCACATGCAAACAATCACACTCGCACGCCTTCACATCGGTGGACAATTTAGACTTGGGGTGTCAAGCTGGTAGAACCGAAGGAAACCCTCACAATTGTGAGGCGGTCGGGCAAAGCATGATACCGCAGTGCCAATTCCAGAACGTGCATCCCCCCCAAAAAATTATCCTGTTCTATCATTTTAAATATATGTGTGCAATTTCTGAGGAAGTTGAGCTTGGCGGTGATTACGGTGTTGTCTCCCACGTAGCAGGAGGTGGCTCCCAGGTGGATGATGGGCGCCGCCGCGGGGCAGCAGTGAGCGAAGGTGTGCACGTGAGCCATCACATCGTGCCTGAGTTTACGCTCTTCCTCCGCCGCCATGCTGAAATCGATGTCCTCCGCGTGGCTCTCCATCTCCGCAATCTGCTCGTCCGTGATGGGCAGTCCCAAAGCCTGAGGAGAAGAGCAACGGAGGCGAGAGAAATGAAGATTGAATTTAACAGGTTTGGCATTTTGAATTCATTGGTCAGTTTGTAATAGTTTTGTCAGTTGAGGTATTAGAACAGTCTTAGATTACCATCAATGTGTCATCGCCACTGTTACTGTAATGGTATGGGACCATCTTGGAAAAAAAAAATTATTGTAAAATTGATGTACAGTAACTACAATGCAGAAGTGGTACAAAATGAATGTGGTTCGTTGTAATGATATTAATAATTGCTCATTTAATTTCCAGATCCCTGATCAAGGAAACGTCTTTGAATGTCAAGCCCTATTTTATGTCCTTGCTGAATGGCAGCGAGCAACGTGGTTCCAATGACAAGGGTTGTTTGAGCATTTGTTAAGGACTGTTTAAGATGTGGATGGCAAGCTCTCTGCTATTGATTGGATTTTCTATTCTGTCTTTCCGCAGCGTGGAGATCCATGTGACGTCTTTGTGACATTAATTAATATGCTGAGTAGACTGGTGCTTTGTTTTCTTGAATTACAGCAGCCCTTTGATGGATGGAAGTATAAAACAGATGAACTGAGGAACTCGGTACCACCCCTAAAACCATTTGCTACTTCAAGCCCTGGGTTGTTAAAGGTTAGTATGTTCCCGGGTCCTCGCGGAATTACATGAATCTCAATTAGGTCAACAAAGTTTGAGCCCGGCTGAAGCGCCATTCAGGGGTGCAATCGCAGGCTGCTGTCTCCTGTTACCAACACATTCTCTGCACACCACTTTTCCACACAAACCACAGAGTAGCCACCCCAAGCTGTGTTAACTCAAGAAGCACGTCTGAACATGCAAATGTGGGCTGTAACTTGCTCTGATTAGTGTACATAATAGATCATGTGAGGGGATGCATGTGAGCTTTGGTCTGCCACTAGTTAACATCATGTGTTCAATCTGATCAATCCAGTCAGGCTGTGTTTTAGGTTTGAAAATTGCATTACTCTATTCTTTTTTGCAGCAAACATGTATGCAAGAATGAAAAAAATAGTTCTAAACATCTTTGCGGTATTTACTAACTTGCTGACGAATAAATATCTTTTTTTAATGAGTACCTGTATATATAAAATAGTAATAAAATATCATCCAACTGTTGAGGATCAACACTTTTCAGTGATCGTTGACCCCGCAATGTTACAAGACGGGGCTCATCTAGACAATAATTTCAATTGGAAATGTGAACTGAGTTGCTCTAGTTTTGAAAGTACAGTATTTGCACAGCTCCGTTCAAGTATTTGACAATATCATGAGAGAATGACTTCTACTGGAGCATCAATTATATGCTACCAAACTGAAATTATATAAAAATGTAGTTTGCGGGATTATCGACATGCCAGCATAAATATCTAATTCCTGAGATATTTATCTCATAAATTTATATCAAATATCTCATTCCTGAGATATTTATGCTTCTAAAAGAATATCAGATAATATTTGTGCATTTAGATTGGCGCATCAGGCAAGCTTTAATTGAACAGTACGTAATTAAACCGTATTTACTTTTGATGACATTGATTACATTCCACTTCTGTTGTAATATGAAAACGACATACTTTCTGAGTGAACCAATACAATGATATTGTATATAAAGCGAGTGTTGTAGTAGTGTGTGGCTGTCAGCAGAAGCTGATGGCGTAAGGCTATTTTTGGAAGGAACTCGTTCTGCCTTCGTGTAGGTCGATACATTAGTACCAAAATAGTAGTATATGTGTGTATATTCAGTACAGCGTTAGCTTGCCAGTGCCCATTGCCCAACGACAAAATGCCAAACCTTTTCAGCCTTAGCAAGGAAGATCCACAGCTTTCTCCAGGTTGTGAACTTCTTCCTATCACTGAAGTTGTACGCCATTTCCTTGCTGGCATATCTTGACACCAGTGGGGAACGATACTTCATGAATTCCTCAGATGCGGCCATGATTCTCAAGTGGGATGATTATTCTCACTCAAGATGATTTGACAGAGTCCTTTTCACACGGACGCACGCTCAGCAAGTCCGCCGGAGCCTCTTTCACAAATTGCACGCGGGTTTACGACATTGTAAGACGCCGTACGGCAAGTGTTTTGTGACAGTTGTAGAGACATACGGCAGAGGGCTGTGGAGGACTTCAATAAACTTAGTCGGACTATATCAATAAACAAAAGATACCAACGTGCAAAAAATCGTTTTTCCTTTATGTATATTTATAATCTCAGTCGCGAAGGTGATCCGCAAACCTTGAATCGTAGCCATATGGACTCTTGTTTGTTTTGTGTGTGCGTGTGGTGTGCGTGCGTGCGTGTGTTTTATTTCACGTTTTCCGAGAGCGTTCAAAAATGAATTAAGCAATTGAGCTTTTAGATCGTTTTTCCTTTATGTATATTTATAATCTCAGTCATGAAGGTGATCCGCAAACCTTGAATCGTAGCCATGTGGACTCTTGTTTTGTGTGTGTGTGTGCGTGCGTGCGTGTGTTTTATTTCACGTTTTCGGAGAGCGTTCAAAAATGAATTAAGCAATTGTGCTTTTAGGCTAACGATGGGATAAAGAGTGGCAGGAGAAACAATCCCCCGCCGTACGTGAACGTTATCTTACGCCACAGCCCGCGTTTTAACCTGTCCCCCCCCGCCGCCGCCGCCTCCATCATCTCTGTCGATCCGTCTTTCTATCTGTCCTCCTAACTGCAGTCTGCATCCGCTGCCCACAGATGCTGCTGCTCCTGCTGCTGAGCAACAGCGTTCTCTTTTGCCTGAGATGTGATGAGACATCCTGTAATTGCTGCTACAAAAATGGACTACGCGGCTACACCGAGGTTGCTCACTCTACTCAAATAGATAAATGAGACAAAGGGGAGCTGACAGAGCAGAGAAGCAGGACTAGAAACAGAAGTAAGGACGGAAAACATTTGGGTGAAGGGTTAAAAGATTACAAAAAAGTGTGTGGGGGGGGGGCGGGGGGGGGTTGAATTTCAGAGGAGAGGCAGGGGTAGACAGAGGAGGGAGACCACAGAGAGCTACGCTGCAGTAGAATGAGGGTCAAAGAGGAAGAGCACTTGAGCTGCCAGTTTTCCCCACCCTGCCTCGGATGCATCGCCACTGAGACCTCCCTCTGAAGAGGCTGCAAGAGGAATCCACGGTGGAGGCAAGAAGGAGACGGAGGAGGGGGGCTGAGGAGGAGGAAGCCAGAGGTTCTACACACAAGATGGCTGCTGTGTCCTCTGACACTGGTAAGTGTGTTTTCATCCTTTGTCGTACTCCTGCGGCTCAAATCGTCTCATTCAGTCAATGGATTTAGGTTGGAAATTCTCGACACGGTCATTCTTGATCCAGAGAAACTGTTGCGCTAGTTCTCATGTCTTCAGTAGCACACAAGGAGCGTGTCAGCCGGCTCGCTCACTCAGCTTCGCTCTCCTCCCCGTATCACCCTCCCCGTTTTATCACCCCTGCCGAGCCGTTTGACTTTGGAATGTATCCCATTTTTAGAGTTGACAGCTTCTCACAATGTGTATCTTTCTCTTGTAACTTCTTATTTGAAAAAGCGTCTTTGTGCGTGTGATGTGCTTCCTGGAATGTGTCCAAGGTTCCTCCTATCTGGACATAAAGGAACAATAAAGGTGGCATGCTGAGAGGAACGATAGGAAGGCAAGGGCAAGAACGAAATTAGAGTCAGTAAAGTAGAAGAGTTCTGGAGTTCTGAAGCAGCGAAGGAGCTCAGATAAGGGCGATACATGGAGCGGAAAAAGGTTTTTGCCAAAGATAAACTACTTGGAGCAATGCTTATAAAGGGAACACAAAAAGAATAGAATCCTTCTCGGGCAGCGGCTTTCAAACCTCAAAACCAGTGCCACCTAAAAATAATGAGGCTGAGATTTTGTCCCTAGAAGTAGATTTTGTATTATTGTCAGCCACTTTAACGTTGTACTCAAATAGCAATTCCATTCAAATCTATAAAACATAAACAGTCAATAAAAATGGAAAATTGTACCTAAATAAATGTTCAAAAACAATCAGTTCTTCAAGATTTTCAATGTATTGAATTAAAAGTCAAATACAACTGAACTGTACTAGGTGTGGTTCTTTTACATGCCACTAGAGGGAGAATTCCCTTTTCTGGGAATCTCTGCTCCGGGGACTAATTTCAACTACTTCTTATTGATGTCCCATAGTTTCAGCGGGGGAGGCCAGGGGCCGTCTCCCCCCTGAACGCCGGCTGCTGATCCTCGGGGGTCCAAAATCTGGTAAGACCTCCTCAGCCAACACCATCCTGGGAGAAGAGGTTTTTGACGCTGGGACGGAGACTACTCACAGCAACGTGGGTCAGAAGGAGATCTTCGGCCGTCGAGTCACGGTGGTAGATACGCCCCCGTGGGTCATCCCCAGCGATGCAGAGGACGACACCGAAGCAGACGATAATGGAAACACTGGCGCCGAGTCCGAGAGCCTGCCAAGACCCCCGCCAAGCCTGGATAGTGAGGGACCCTGCATGGGGGCCATCCTCTGCCCTCCTGGACCTCACGCGATCCTGCTGGTGGTGTCTGTCTCGCAGCCTTTCACTGACACTGAGAGGAGAGCCGCGGAGGAGCAGCTGGGGGCCTTGGGGGGTGGAACGTGGAGATACTCCATGGTGCTCTTCACTGCGGTGGACAAGTTACAGAAAGGCGTCTTCATTGAAGAGCACATCGCAAATACAGGAGAGGCCCTGCAGTGGCTGGTGGAAAGATGCGGAAGCAGGTACTCTGTTGTATCCTTGGCTTTACTTGGGGCTGAGCTTGACCCCGTAGGGCCACCTGAATATATTTTTACTGAAGCGTTTTAGACTAGGCTATTCGATGGTTTTAATTTTGTCTTTTTTTTTTTCTTGCCACAATCAGCTGAGGCTTTCGTAACTTGGGAATAAAAGGTGCTGAAAATAATGAAAGTCTTGCAGTGGGGTCACGGTTGATTTCCATGGGGGCTGAAAAAGATGATGATCCTTAGAATACAGGAAATCACTTACTCCTCATCTTTTGGTTGAGCTCCACCATCCTCGTTCTTCCTGCAGGTATCATGCTTTTGATAATAGCTGGAAAGACACGGAGGACAATACACAGGTACCTGAGCTGATGGAAAAGGTGGAGGAAATGATCACCGACAACCAAGGTTTGTTGACTTCTCGAGCAATATGTGACATTTTTTTTCCTGCATCCTACGACATGGCAGTATCTGATTGTTGGATGTATGCTGGCTGCTTTTGGACAGGCTGGTATTTTGAAGTGAACGAGCTGATTTTGCTGGAGGAGGAGCAGGCGAGGAGAGCTCTGGAGGAGGAGAGGATGAGGATGGAGGAGCACGCTAGACAGAGAGAGCAAATGATTGGAGGTCCTCCCAGAGGTATGGGGGGGAGCTGTTTGTGTGTGTTTAATGTGTGCAAAGGAGAAAGATGACTACATGTGCATCCAAATGTTGCCCCTGGAGAGAAAAATTGTTCCCGCTCAAGCGTGACATGGTTAGCGTTGCTGTCAAGCAGTTTTGCAAAGACTTGGCTCACGTGCTCCCGCTGCGCTGCGGGAATGGGTTCGTTGCAGATATGAAATGTTGCTGTTATGAGAGGGAAAAAAATTCAACGCCTGTTGCTCAAAGACTTTTTATTATTTTCCCTAATCTTGTTCTTGCTTTTGTTGTTCTGTTGTCAGAACTGAGGTTGCTGCTGTTAGGCTGGAAGGGCGTTGGAAAGAGCTCCGTGGGGAACGCCATCCTGGGCCGTCGGTTCTTTGAGTCCGGCCAGGAGACGGACCTCTGTCTCCGGAGGCAGGCGCTCGTGTCCGGGCGCCGGGTGACCATAGTCGACACCCCGGGCTGGGACTGGTTCTCCGTGCGGCGTACGCCGAAGCGCATCCGCCAGGAGTCACAGCGTGGCGCCGCCCTTCTGCGACCTGGACCTCACACGCTGCTGCTGGTTCTCCCTGTGGTCTCCTCCCTCACCGCCAGGAAGAGAAGAACCCTTCTGGCCCACATTGAGACTCTTTTTGGCGACACCGCCTGCCTCCACACTATGGTACTGTTCAGCTGCGGGGACTGGCTGGGCCGAACGCCCATTGAGGAGCACATACTCAGAGGGGGCCGGGAGCTCCAAAGACTTCTTGAGTACTGTGGAAACTATTACCACGTCTTGGACAGTAAGACCCCTGGCAAGGACAGGAGCATCTCAAACCTCCTGGATAGGATTGAGGAGATGATCAGGGAAAACGGAGACAAGGCCTTCCTCCCTGTGCAGACCGAATGGTGTAAGTCCTGCAATTTTAACTCCGCTTTGACACATACTTGACAATCCATAGGTACACCTACGTCATCTCATCTCATCCAATACAAGAACTACTGAAGAATCCAACAATAGACCAATGAATTTTAACTCCGCTTTGACACATACTTGACAATCCGTAGGTACACCTACGTAATCTCATCTCATCCAATATAAGAACTACATCAAGAATCCAACAATAGACCAAGTCAGACGATGTCATTGGGCTACATTGTGGTCATTGTGGACTGGCTGCTAAGATCACTTGCTGGGCCGCGCCCCTTAAAGGCACACATCCAGACACATGATTTTTGCTTCAATTAGACTTTTATAAAAATCGATTTATTTCTCATATTCCATTTTATTATGTTTATTGGCTTTCTATATTCAAAGTTTTTTTTTTTTTGTGGTGCTGCAACGGATTAATGGCATTTGTATTCATTTCAATGGGGAGGTTTGAGTTGATATACTCAAAAATGAATTGACTCAAGGGACCACTGTTCCAAAATATACCAATACCATACATGAGTAAGTCAAAAGGATTCCAAACATTTCAGTGTGATGCAGTGCAGTTGTACACCACTACAAATGACAACTAATAACATAAAGTTAACCGACTGTCATTTGTAACGACACAATGTCTGATGCAGCTCTGATTCGAGATGACTGTCCATGGAAAGCTCGCTGACACTTTAGTGCATGAGACTGCGTGGCGCTGTTGCCTTGTCATCAACATTGTCTAATTTAATTGTCTTGTATTTGACAGTGAGTGAGGAGAGCTCTTACTCATCCGACAACACCGAGCCAGAGGACGACTGTCGAGGGTGCCAGCTGCAGTGATGAAAGTGAAAGCCAAGAGCTCCTGTGTGCGTGTTCTGTTCTTTTGGGTGTCCACTAGGACCAAACCGAACCTCATCAACCTTTAGCCTCATCTAGATAGCCATTCTGGATCTTTTAGGAAATAATGTTGGACGGCGATCACTTTTGAGGACTGTTGCAGAGGAAGTGTTTCATGAATATATTTACCGAAGGAGGTGCCGCGGCAAAGTCCTCGCTGTAACCCTGCAGAATGTTCCACTGTCATGATTTAAAGTTGAAGAGTTGAGTTGAGCGATGAGGCCACCGAGCACATCAGAAGTCTAATCCATTTCACTCACGAAGGAATTTGTCCAAGATGACATTATCTGGAGAAGGCAGCTTGTTTTCTTTCATGTCTGCTAAATGATTAACTGGAAGGAATGCTTCCTTCTGTTACCGCACCTTTCATTTTGAAAAGAGCGTCGACGCTCTTATCTCGTGCTCTTTGATTCCATCGAATCAAAGGCCTCGTAAGGGAAATGCTTCTGTAAGAAAAGAACCCATTGAACACCGGATCAAAATGCAGT